ACGGGAGGATGCTGTGAAATCCTTAGAGGTAAAGGTGATGGAGGCTATCACCATGATCTAATAGCAACTCAACACTCTCAAGACTTCCTTAGAGGCAAAAGGAAGGAATCTACTATTAGATGGAAATAGTGGAATCAAGAAAGTAAGGATAGATCTTCCCAAACTAAAAGAATTTAAAGGTGTACGGGATGCCCAAGAAGTTGAGAACTTCTTATGGCAAATGGATCGCTATGCCGACACCTTGGGGATAACAGATGATCAAATCAAGGTAAGTACTACTGCTTACTTCCTTACTGATAATGCAATGTTATTATGGTAAAGGAAGCATGCAGACATTGAGAAGGGGCTTTGCACCATCAATACTTGGGAAGACTTTAACAAGGAATTGAAGAAGCAATTCTATCCGGAGAAGGTGGTCTATGTAGCCCGTAAGAAGTTAAGAGAGCTTAAACATAAGACCACTATCTCGGACTATGTGCAGGAATTCACCTCTTTAACTCTTTAGATTCCAAATTTGAGTAGTGAAGAGGGTTTCTTCTACTTCATTGATGGTCTTCAAAATTGGGCCAAGCATGAGTTGACTTGTTAAGACCATCGATGAAGCCATAGTGGTTGTCGAAAGTCTCTTAGAATTTCAAAGGGAAAGAGGTGAGTCTCCTAAGAATAGATTTCCTAACCCTAACCTTGAGAATGGTGGGGGAGGAAATGGTAAAGGGACAAACCTTGAAGGGAAGGTGACGAACAAAGGAGACACTAGGAAGGGATCCCAAACAAAGCAGAAGGAGAAGAGGGAACTTAGCTGCTTTGTATGTTAAGGCCCCTATAGGATGAAGGATTGCCCGAAGTTGGGCTCATTATCTGCTTTGGTGCAAAGGCAGGAGGCGTAAGAGGAAGAGGAAAATCCTAGGATAGGATCAATACAACTCCTTAACACTTCTAAAGCCCAACCAATGCATGTGAAGGCTAAGCTAAATGGGAAGCCTGTCAGTATCATGGTGGATACTGGGGCCAACCACAACTTCATTTCTCCAAAAGAGGCCAAGAGGGTAGGTCTTAAAGTTGAAAAGGGAGGAGGTTTATTGAAGGTCTCCGATTCTCCTTCTCAACCCTTAGTTGGCATTGCTTGAGGGGTCAAGCTAGGTATTGGGGATTGGCATGGAAAGGTGGATTTCTCAGTTGCTCGTATAGATGACAACAAGGTAGTACTTGGTTTAGAGTTCATGCGAAAGGTAAAAGCTTTTATCATGCCATATCATAATGTATTTTGCATCCTCGAGGGAGGAGTTGCTCGCACGGTACCCACTTTAAGCGGTAGATTTTCACGATTATCAACGATGCGAGTACTGAAGGAGGATAGCATGCCAAGAAGGCCAAGTATAATCTCATCTCATAGGGAGATGAATCATAAGAGAACCAAGAAGAAGGATCCTTGGAAGAGGAATTCTCAGTACATGAATCAAGTCAGTGACGAGGGCGTCACTGGATCAAGTAGGGGAGAATGTGACGAAGTCAAAATCTTCACGAGGTTAAAATATTCTAAAAGCTTCTGAAATGATCCAGGACAATCAAGAAGGCACTGAAGTCTTCTGGGATACGCTGGTATAACCTTGAAAGACCTAGATATCTCTAGAATAGTATAGAGAGCACTTGAGGTATCTAGATTATTCTAAGGATATCCTTCTCTTGTACATTTTAGAGTTCTCCTTATAAACATCAAGATATTTCTAGTAGATGTTTCTAGAGATGAGATGTACACAATAAGATCAAATTAATCCCAACCGTCCATTAAAGAGGTGAGAATTTTCTAGAGAAAGGGGGAGGCCTATAAATACCCCCTTATCCCTCATTTGTAGCAACTCAAGAGCAAAGTAATAAGGCTCTCAAGTTCATTCACTCAAGCTCTACTCTCTACTTGTGCAACTAGTCTTCTTAAGTCTCTTTGCCTACTTTGAGGGTTCGGCTGACTTAGCCACGATCAAGAGGGTGATCAAGCTAAGGCCGACACGGTTTAAGGAAGGGGAAGTTCCAAGGCCATGACATAGTGCTCTATTTTGAAAACTTCCATGGCATTTTTGCCCTTTAACCCAAGAATAAACCAAGCAATTAAAGTTTACTATGATTGAAAGGGAAAAGACTTGCTCCTTTAGTTGCTAAAAAGGAAGAGAATGGAATGGATTAAAAAATAAAGATAAAAAATAAATCGATCAAAACATGGAGGGAAAATGAGTCAATCATGTTCATGAAGTGATAAGGGTAATTTAATTTATGAGATTAAGAATCATGATTCATGAGTTTTGAGAAAGAATTGTCACTACTACAAAATATATATATATATATATATATATTTTATTACCCCCAATTCACATCACTTTCTATAAATAGGATGTAGAAAATCAATGTTGTGACAATTTTATAAATAAACGGTGGTTCTGAAAATATTTACACACCAATTTATTGACAAAACGACAGTTATTAGGTAAACATGACTTTTTTTAATAATTCCATGTCATTTTAATAAAATAGACGTGGATTAATTAAATAAAATTATATTTTTCTTTACTATGTAAAATATACCACGTCATTTATTATATATATAAATGACGTGGTTTATTACTTCCACTTCTATACTAGTTAAAGCGAGTTGGAATTAATATTTACTTATTAAATAATTTAGTTATTATGTTAATTTATCCATGTTGCCTATTAAGAGCAATGTGGTTTTGATGCTTTGTTAATCCACATCGCTTATATATAAAAAGCCATGTGGATTATCATTTTAATTAGGTTAATCCACGTCCTATGTTTATGTAAAGCAATGTGGTTTATTTTATATTTTGAATTTGAATTTAAATATGATGTCCTTATCTGAGAGGGTCTGTTTTCACTTTTCATTTTCCCCCTGTTTCGGCACCCCTTTCCCTCTCTTCACCAAAATTGCAGTCTCCTCTCTTCTCACTTGTGCTCCAACGTCAAAGTCTTCTCTGACGAGCTCGTCTCCTCTCTTCTCACTCGTGCTCCACGTCGTGTCTTCTCTAGCGAGCTACTCTTCTCTCTTCTCACATTTCCAGACAAGACCCACTCCGTGTCTTCTCCACACTGGTGCTTGACGCCTTTCTCTCAACTTCTGACGAGACCCACTCCCCCCTCCCAACTCCTCTCCTCTCCTCTCCACTCTAGACGAGACCCATCGTTTGGGTTCAACTTTTCTGAGCTTGGTCACTCCAGGGACCTTTGAAGCTGTTTGGGTTCTTCCACCTTGTAAGTTCTTCCCCTATTTTCATTTGTGTCGTTCTGCTACCCACGTTAGTGCTTGAACTGTGGAAATGTTGCTCTTCTGTTCTCCATTATTGTTCTCTGTGTCATCTGTTCTCTGCATGGTTGTTATAGGTTTGTTTTAATTTTTTTCAATTTAATTTGTGTTTGAATTTGGTCTGTGATGGTTTGAATATTGATGCCTTTGAATTTGGAAATATTTATAGATTGAGTTTAAATTGTTTTTGTACTAGTTTTTGCTTGAATGGTGAGCAATGGGCTATTATTCTTTGATTTTTTTTTTTGTTTGTTTGATTAACTTCTATAACTTGTATTCATTTGATGTGTTATTAGGATCCTGAGGATGTATGCTGAGGACTACCCTTATCTGCCATAGTTATATGAATTTTTTAAAGTAACGACAAAGCCAACCAAGTTGATCATGCCTAAAGGAATTGTGAGTGTAGATAAGTCATATCCCTTTCCAATTAATAAAAAAGACATTTTGAAATTTCTATTAATGAGGGAGCCGGATAAATCAATAAGCATAAGGTTTGAAAAGAGTGTTGTAATTCTTACATTTATGACATGTAATATTGGGTTTCATATATCATACTTACCGTGAGGGGAGGGTAATTTTAGTTTAATTTTATTCTTATTCCTTTAATTCATTCTATTCATATTCTTTTCAGCAACCAAACGGCTCTTTAAATATATAAGACTTAAAATACCTATAAGAAATGCTTAGATAGACCAATTCAACATGAAAGCTCCTTGTTTTTCTTAATTCCAATACTGCTTTTACTCTCTGATCTACTAAACGAGATCTAATACGTTGTGAATCTCTTTATTATTATGCTAAACGGGATTATAACGAGTTTATTAATTAAACCATTTCTATATGTATGGACTCCACAAAAGATAAAGGGGTTGGAAATTATATAATATTACATAGAAATTGACGTGTGCATTTTATACTTTAGCATGTGTGCGTGCAGGCGTGAGCTAATATTAAACAATGATCTGATATATTATTTTGATTGGTTTAGGCTCAATATCTAAAAAATTATCTTTAACATATATATTTAAATTAAATTTAAATAAATTTAAGACACCGATGTTTAATTTAAACGTTTATTGAGAGGACAGTAGTGGGAGAGAAACCTGATTGTTATTGAGAGGACATTATATTTTCTTTCCTAATGTTTCGGATGAATCTTCAATTCTAGCCTCTCATAAAAACTTTCTCGAAGAAAAAAAGAGAAGACAAATTTTCTCGTCAATATTCTGTTTGCCATTTTTTCTTCTCTCACTAAGAACCTGAAATATTGAAGCAAACTTCTGAATTCATCATTGAGGTTTCAGTTTTCTTATGATCAATTACGACACAAGAATATTTGTTTCCAAGTCAAGTTGTCCTTGATTCTTCAACCAAACGCTCAAGTCCCTCAGTTTTCATTCTAAAATTTCAATCAGTTTTCATATATAATCCAAGGAGAGACCTACATCATTATTTTCCTGTCTCAAAGGATGACAAACCAGACAACCATCTAGACTGACGAAGAAAATGATGATAAAAATACCTAGCTCTTTCCACTTAATCGTGTTTTATTTGTATTTTTGGGATTCAAACGGTGTGGTTTCCGAAATTACCAATAGCTATATAACCTAGAGTTTCAAATGAGAGAAATTCTCCCACCATGAATTATTCATCCACAAGGCTCAAGCCAAGACCTTCGGGAAGAAACGCCAGATTCATTTCATTGGATCCAATCACAAACAATATTCAAATCCCACTTTTGATGCACAGATACGAATACAATCAGCTCAATACAAAATATTAGACATTATTATTATTGTTATGGCTTCTCATCAAAGCCATCAAGACTCAACATTATTTGTGAAGAAAACATCAGATCAAGAACCCCTCCCAAGCAAAGTTGCTCAAAGCACTGTGACACATATATACCAAGCCAACATAGGAAGGTCGTGGCGAAACGTGAGCATGTTATGGTGCAAAACCCTAATGAGCCATACATTACACCTTACAATTGACAGCACAATAGGAAGCAAACTTCACTATACTTGCAAGATCGACGTGAAGCCATGGAACTTTTGGAGCAGAAAAGGGTACAAATCCTTGGATGTGGATGGCCACGAGATTGAAGTCTACTGGGACTTCCGGTCAGCCAAGTTCTATGGCGGAAGCCCGGAGCCGACGAGTGACTACTATGTAGCCGCTGTATTCGAGGACGAGGTGCCGTTATTTGTGGGGGACAACAAGAAGAAAGCATACAAGAGAACGAAATCTAAACCAGCCCAGATTGAGGCCATGCAAGTTGTAAAGAAAGAAAATGTGTTCGCCAAGAAAACCTTCATTACGAGAGCGAGGTTTGATGAGAAGATGGCGGCGGCGACAAGAGATAGCGAAATTATTGTGGAGAGCATCACGAGTAGCGGTGCAAGTGAACCAGAAATGTCGATATTCATAGAAGGGGTAAAGTTGATACATGTGAAGAATCTACAATGGAAGTTTCGAGGGAACGAGACAGTGATGATGAATAAAGAGAAATCTATTCAAGTGTTCTGGGATGTGCATGATTGGTTGTTTAGTGGGTCTGATCAGTCAGGTGGATCAGGGCCTGGTGTGTTTATATTCAAGCCAGGACATGCAGAAGCAGAAGAATCAGAGACAAGTGATAGAGAAGGTTGTGACAATGAAGATGGTAATTCTTCTGTGTATTATTCAACTAGAAATACCTCCGAATTTTGCCTTGTTCTTTGTGCCTACAAATTAGATTAATTCAAAATGCTAAAGGATATTTGGTTCAACTGGTTGAGAGAACTGAATTAGTTTATCTTAGAATCTTGAGTTTAAATTATGAGTTAAATAAATATATTAATGAAGGCATCTCGGACATATTTGTAAGGTCATGTCCTACATAACAGGGGTCATATCAGTCTAGGCAGGAGGTGGTAATACCCTATATTTCCCATGATACTGGCAATGGAAAAAAAAATAGATTAAACACAAAAAAGATATTCAGTGCATTTGGGGAAAAGGTAGATCAAGAAAAAGCATATTTGAGCCATTTTGTAAATATTCTATTTGTCATCACATATTTGATTGTAATTTTGTCACCAAATGTGTACTAATAGGCCTATTTGACATTTACAAAGGAGTTTAATTTGCTACTATGTTTTTTCTACTATCTTACCTCAGTTTTCTATCTATATATTTTTGTTCTCTAAAATTGAGAGTAGCATTTTCGAAGAAGGATAATATAAAATCAGATTATATGAGACTCGATTTAAATAATAAATCTCATTATTAAACAATTAATCTCACATGTAAATATTAATTTTGTTCCAAAAAAGAAAAAAGGTGACAGAACTTCTTTGTTCACAAAGAATACTTTATATTGTTTAGAGATTGAGAGAGAGAAAAAATTATATTAAAAGTAATGAAAATTTCACTAATGAGTAATCAATAAATACCTTTATAATTTAGTTATCATGAGTTTTTGAGACCTATTTGACTTGTTTTAAACTGTTTTTATAAAAATTTACATGTATAAAAATGAATGTAAAAATTTTAGTTTTAACAATGGTTTCATAATTATTATCTAAAAATTTTAAAAATTTGCCCAATCAAAGTAAAAATTAAAATTGGGATGTGTTTATATTAAAATGTCATAATAAATAAAAACTTAAGTAGATGATATCTATCAATATATAATAGAAGAGTAACAAGCTCATCTCTATAAAAAGCAAGTATCCTTTTCTTCAAATACTTCACCTCTATGAAGTCATGTGAGATTTTATTAATGAAATTATTTGGTTAAACTATACATTTAATCTTTTAACTTAACATTTAGTCTTTTTTATTCTTTTACACTAATACTATTAGTTCATTTCAACAAATTTTTACATTGAACTTTTCATATATTGACAAAATATTCTCAAATGTTGACATATTATGTTTAATTAATTTAAAATAACAATAATTGACATGAAAAATAATCATTTAAAACTAATGATATTAGGGTTAAAAGACCAAAAAGATACTCTAAAAAATTAAAGGACTAACTTAAACCTTATATGAAGTTAGAAGACCAAAAATATATTTTAGCCAATTATTTTTAATTAGTGAATAATTTATTTCTATTCTTTCATTCGGACAATTTCATAACTCCATGTTTTAATAACTTCCTAACTCCATGATCAATTTTTTAGATACCTTTAGTTATTCAAAGTATTTCATCATTCTAATAATTAACTTCCTAACTTTATGATCCACGTAGGATTTCATTTGCAATTTTTTTAAATTCATACATATAATTGAATTTTATAATCTAATGCAATGATCCCTCTTTTAATTAATTCAAATCAATTTGAATTAATTATGAAGTTTAGATTTAAATTTAAATGCAGATTTGTATTGATCATAAAGTTTAGATTTAGATTTAAACACAGTTAGTCATCTAGATTGTTCACTCACTCTAATAACTATCTAAGTCCCTGTGGAATTGAGAAACAATTATATTGGAAAGACAGCCAAAAAAAAAAGATAATTATATTCGAAAGATAACTTATTATTTATATTTTGAAATTTTAGCATCCTAAAAGCACGATCCCTTACATTTTAAATTGGCTAAATTATGCATTTAGTCATTTAACTTTAATAACATTTTATTTTAGTTTCTTAATTTTATAAAGTATCTTTTTATTTTTTTAATCCTAAAACTATTAGTTTTATCCCAATAAATTTTTATATTAAACTTTCAAATAATAGTAAAGAAAATAATCATTTGAAATTGATGATGTTAGGGATAAAAGACTAAAAAGATATTTTATAAAATTAAAAGACCAAATTAAAATAGTAAATAAAGTTAGAGGACTAAAAGTATATTTTAATCTTTTAAATTTTATATAATATATATATATATATATATTTTAAATTATAAATTTTGGATTTATATAATGGGAGTGGATTCTCTCCTCTTCCCTTACCATCCTCTTCTGTTTCCTTACCAAAAATTGAACCAAGCAGTCACACACTTAACAAGTTAAACTATATTAACCAACTATATAGTATAGTGACAACCTAGGTTAATTTCTCAAAAGGTGTTTAAAGATTAAATTCAAAGCCTCCTAATGCAATTAAATTAAATTTAAAATTCTCAAGAGTTGATTGATTTTAAGTGATTAAACTAAAACACTACAATAAAATGGTCTTTTTTCAAGGGAATTTCTCACGAAAAGAGAATCATGAGAGATTCTCACGAATTTTCTCACAGAATATCACTTTATGTGTGATTTCTCACCTTTTTTTTTCTCACAGCTTCCATATGAAAGAAATATTTGTAGGAATGTTGTGAGAAACTTTGCAAGAACTGTGGCACGTATGATGCCAATTTGGCGAAAACTTTCTCACGCCATCTAAGCATGAGAAAGCAAAGGGAAAACTATAAAATAATAGAGAAAACAACTTTTCATGGTTTACATGTGAAAGAAGTTCTCATGGCAGGTACTCTGAGAACATTTCCTAAATGAAATGTTTTCTCACAATAGGTGTACCATGAGAATTTCTTTCGATTAGCCTTCTACGAGAAAGCTTGAACTAGCTAGTCGTCCTCTAAGAAGCCTTCTCACATCTCATTTACCATGAGAATTTCTTACTAAATTGTTTCCGTGGGAAGTCATGTGAGAAAATGTTTCTCATGGATATATAGGGTGTGAGAACCTCTCTCAAAATGTGCACTGTGAGAAATGATTTCCCATATTCATTCCTTAATATGCATTTCTCATGGGTAATTTCTTTGGCTTGGGGTCCTATGAGGCCAGCACAAACATTGCATCAATAGTCAATAAATGGATACAAGTTTCATACTAATGTATGGATGAAAGGGAGGAAAACTACTAATAGTGGAGTTGCAATTAAGGGAAGTAGTCATGGTCAACTTGAATCTTCTTACTTTGGTGTCTTAGAGGAGATAATATAATTACAGTTCACTAGCAAACCATTGAAGTTTTTAATAATCTTTGAGTGTAAATGGTTAGATCCTAGTTCAAAAGGAACTCATGTTTCTCCAAAATATGGTACTATTGAGGTAAATGCTAACAGAACATACAAGGGGGATGATCCTTTTATTCTTTTTTTTTTTGGATAAAGATGATCCTTTTATTCTTGTATAACAAACTCAACAAGTGTATTTTACACCATATCCAAAATCCATTATTGCTAAGAAAAATTGGCTTGTTGTTATTAAAACCAAAGCAAGGAATAGGTTTGATCATATTGATAATGAAAGTGAAGATACACCATTTCAAGATAACACCAATCGACAAGTCCAATTAATTGAGTATGAGCATGATGAACAAGATTTACAAGATAACATGGGTGAGAGTGAAGAATTTGATAATGCGTCGTCATATGAGAATGAAGAGGATATTGATGATCATTCACAATCAAGCGATGAAAATTTGGATGAACATATATTGCATACTAACTCATCTAAAACAGAAGAAGATCCTCCTTCTAATTATTATTTAGCAAGTGATTGATTATAATTGGTAAATTGATTGTTATTATTTTGTTTATTATGCTTATTAGTTTGTTTGTTATTATAAAATTTTATTTTATCTAATTATCTACTTATTTATTTAACTAACTTCAGATGACATCTTCTCAAAAAGACATAGCAATATCTAAGAAGAAGAAGAAGAAGGCTAAGACAATGAAATCATCACAATCCCAATTGCTTGCTACTTTTTTAATACTTCAAACACGTCCATCACCACCTCAAACACAATTGCCACCACCTGATACACAACTACTACTACCTAATATATAGCCACCACTGCTTGATACACATCCTTTACCACCTCAACCATCAATTGCCACACAATTACCACGAACCCAGCTGCAAGTTACCAATAATAGATCACCAAGATCTGAGGTTGATTCTTCTAGATTGAGTATATATATAGCTGGCTCATCCAATCAAACATATGATGCTGGGTCTAGATTGAGTGACAATCACTTGGTGATTCATCCTAAGGGTAATGAAGAGTAAGTATCTTGTATTTGAATTTGTATGTTATCATTTGTTACTTGTTATATACTAATTCTTGTTCTTTTTGTAGGTTACTTCCTTCAATTGAATCAGTTTCAATCTTATCTAGAATAATCCATTCAAAGTATAAGAGTGGATGGCTTGCGTTTAGTAAAGTCCTAGAAAATGTTAAAAATTTATGGTTTAATGAATTCAAAATGAGCTAATTTACTAATTCTTTACAACTTATGTATACAAATATTTTATTTGGGAACACTTGACATTGATGATGTTTTTATATGTAGCTAAGATATGCTTGGGACCCATCTTTAGACAACGATGTTCATAAAATATGGAAGAAGAAATGTAGCAGAGTGATCCGCTCCTCTTTGAGGGACATTCAAATTGGTAAAACAAAAGGTGAGTGGTTAATGCCTGGACCTCAAAAGGAGCTTGAAAAATATTGGAAAAGTGATGAATTTAAAGTCAAATCTAAAAAGAATAAGAAGAATCAAGCAGCTAACACAGGAGGATGTGTACATAAAGGCGGGAGAATGACATTTGCAGAGCATAGAAGAGGAATGGTAAGCATTATTCAAACATGTTCGTATTTTTTTCATTTTTAATTGACTTAATCTTATCCTTTTTTCTAAATAATGTAGGAAGTTGAATTTGGAAGGCCTTGTGAGTATCCTGAGGTTTTCAAAAAAAAAAAAATTCAACATGATGAGAAAAAAGGTTGGAT